TATCATTAAAGTGGGTTATGGCGTTACTCCCAGGCCATATCCAATATTCTCCAGTATTTGTTTGGCTATTTTCGTTTCTTGTTTTTCTATTAACTTCTGGTAAGTGCAGAAGCTGAGGTTTTTTCGTGTCAATAAAATTGTTCATTCCAGAAATCCCACATTTAACGGGCTTTTTCAAAGGCTCTCAAATGCTCCAACAAAAGATTGAATATGAGGAGCAATGACCCGTGAACGCGGTGAACATGCTGAATGCGGAAAGAACTACGAATTCAAATCCTTTTGCCTGCGACGCCAACAGCGTTTTTACACGAGAAACAAATGCCTGACTGGGCGGGCCTAAGATTCCCCATTGTACAGAGCAAAACTCCAGTCAAATGCCCTGGCTATGCCCGGAGGAAATGCGTGGTTTTGGAATTGACTGGTACCAGGATACATCATTAAAATTTCGATTGTTTTTTCACTCACTGGGGTTTTTCTATTCCTTCAATTCACCCCAATTGATTGTCTGATTCGTCAATTGTTCTTTAATCGGACGACCCACTTTTCTTTTGGTGACAGCAGAACAAATTGAAAAATGAAATAAAATGTAAAAGGCATGTGCGAAATCGTCGTTTTTGTCGCTCACTCCTTTAGTTTTTACCGTTCTTACTGCTGCCGCGTCGAGTCAGGTGCCAATCTCGCGCGGAAAACAGACGGCAAAATACACTTCACAAGACAAACCATTGTGCGCGCGCAAGACCAACTGGAAAGGCCTGGGGACAAGGCAGGCCGTCCTTTTTTTAGGGTGATTTTTCATACATTTTTATTTCCTTTTTTTGTCAAAGAGGCTCATATCCCCTCATTGAATATTGCGTGTTGTTCAAGAAGGGTCCCAAAATACATGACTTAAATTAGTTTTACTCACATTTTGCAGATATACTAAACTTCCTTTTGAAGTTTCAGGAAGCTTTTTATTAACTGTACTATATCACGTAGCGTGTTGGAAATTGAGCTATCGCAATCATCGAAGACTGGATCACAATACCACTTCCCGCCTACTCTGAAAACTTGATAAACAGATCCCTTTTTCATCACGGACTTTTTGAAAGTTAATCTCTTAACTTTTTTAGCTTAATCTTGGGCTTCAATATTTCAGGAATATAATGGTACTTCTCCGTAACTGAAGACTAATCTGACGGATCTGTCAATTCCTGCTGCCAGGCCAGGCGCTTGAGGGAACAGTCAAACAGGTGAAATGAGTTACGGAAAGAGCATCAGCAAAACGCGGCTTACTGTTTATCGTATCTTAAAAGCTTTATAAAAAAAACCCAAAGTAAATGTATTCTATAATTTGGCCGACATTACAGTTTTGAGATATTCTCCCAGATAAAGGCATATAAAACAGCAAATTACAAAATTGTTTGGTGAAAGTGCACTTTGTAAAACTTGAAACTGTGAAACTATTAACACAAAATAAATGTCTGATATGATAAGAAGGACCGCTATAACTTTAAGCTAAGACATTATGCTTCTTATGGATTTCTTTTCCCCCTTATTTTGCATATGGAAATATTAATTATTTATCTTAACCAAACGTTTGTCTTTGAACGAATGTGTAAATTCTATTATTAACTACCAAAATCCGTTCTTCCAAAAAAGCAAAACGGAAGATGCCCAACTCACCGGAACAGTCCGTTGTCTTTGAAATAAGTCGGCAATTTTCTAAATTATTTCAACCTGAAATGGTCATTGAAACAAGGCCAATATTCCCGTGAGTCTATCTCTACTAATGCAACATCGTTTGTTAAGAGATAATGAGGTTAACAAAAAATATGCTTCATTCACAAAACGAAAAGGAAATTAAAGAAATGAAGAGTTGAAGAAACAGATTATGAACTCATATTGAACTGCTTTGAGTTGATCAGTGTTGACTCTGAACGTCTGTATTTGCTTTACAGAGATCTAAATTACGTTTTCTGAAACGAAACACAAGGAAAAGATTTCCTTTTGAATTATGCTGAATTGTAACCATCTAATTTTACGTGGTTTCATTCAATAATTGCCTTCTGTTTCAGGCCGACACTCCAAATGTCGGGGCAAAATAAGGGAGTAATCATTCTAAACAATATTGAAACTGATAGAAAGATGTTGAGGAAAGCACTCTTAGCGTAGTCGAAATATTTTTTTAATAGCAAAATTCAAGTTTCATTTCGACGAGATGTTTCAGTGAAGGTGTCAGTTTTTACACAAACGGAAATCAGACACAAGCGGTTTTGAAATTTCTCAGTCATATTTATAACACTTGATTCGCTCGGCGCTGGTACTAAGCCGCCTTGTCATGCTGCTGCATGACTAACAGAAGTCAATGTGTCAATGGATTCCATTTCACTGTTTTTCCTTCGCCCTGCATTAATAAGAAGAATGATACGTTTGAGGTTTGAAAATTTGTAAGATGTGTGTATCGTGAGCGGTTAGATTCAGTTGATAATTTCCTTTAACTGTTTTTGCGTTGACTTAGAAC